GTGGTATTGGGTGACAGAACTCTGAAGTCTCCAATAGACTTCCTACTTTGTTCATTTGGTGTGTTTTTTTAAATGCAAACTGTTATCGTTAAGAACCCCCCCCCCACACACACACCCAGTAGATTCGACCTAAAGTGGACAAAGTTTTCATCATATAAACTCGTGGATTTTACCCAATTTTAAAAATGCCTCGGAATTGTCGTCTTCTGTTCTCCTCTGGGTGCTTGCTTACTCCAAGGACTCGTACTACATATATTATTACTGTACAGAATGCAATAAACGGCTTTTTATAATATTCAGAACCGTTGTACGTATGCTAATGACAAGCAGTTATAAGATGTTTATTGTTGTTGATTTTTTTCATTCATTCATTCATTCATCATCATCATCATCACCATCATTATCCTCCTCCTCCTCCTCCTCCTCCTCATCATCATCATCATCATCATCATCATCATCATCATCATCATCATCATCATCATTTTTTGGTAAGCAGGGTAGGAGGGAGAGTCTTGTTTTAATTTTAGACAAAAATAAAATAACAATATAAAATGTTTAACATCATCATCTGATGTCAGAACCAACATCAACCATGCCACTTTAGCAATATCGTGACATCACAAAAGTTGCTCCAATACTGACAAGATCTCTGGTCTCGTTGTTTTCAGGCGTGAGGGAAGCAAATATGCAGCTCAACACTTTCCATCAGATCTACGCTGTTGACCCAAACTACAGCAGATCATTTCTACCTTATTTGGAAGGCATCCACTACACTGACTTCACATGTTACCAAACAAGGAACGAACCGTACGTGAACCAATACCTCGAGCACAAGCACTTCAACTGTTCGACGAGAATTGGCAGCCCTTCAGTGGCTCCTAAAAGAAACCAGCTACCTAACCTTCTAGCAAGCGTTTGTTCTATACCGCCGAAGAGGAGAATTCTGACTACTCTGAGGACTAACACGACGTTACCGGAAACTATTTCGGACGAAACCGGGAAGGCCTGCCTCAAACAGTATATCAACCAAAATTGTCAATACAGTAACTACAAGGTCCCTAACATTGTGCATTATGTATCTTTCAGAAATTCATATATGGATTTAAGGATGTTCATTGCTCTTTACAGGTAACTCATATATTTTTTGGTCAAACAATACTCAGTGTTGTGTTTTATTTTTTTGAGATTCTAACGAGATCTGTTTAATATGTGATCTAAATTCATGCCACGTCTAGCATTTCTCAATCCCTTTCAATGTGCTGTAGTTGGGGAAACAATTTTTTAAAACTCTGGTTAATCATGCTCATGGGCCAGTTTAACTTAATGTTCCTCCTTGGCCTTTTTTCATCCCAAATAACCAACTTTTATTACCAACTTGAAGACTCATTCATTTTTTTGAGGGGGTCCTATACTAATATACTAAAGACAACAGTAATTTATAGGGACATTGTTTAAATTAATTGACAGCCTTATCATTTTCATCGTCTTCATAGTTATGTTTTTCCCCCATTAGCTCTGTTGCTCTCGTGCTGGCTGCTGGACTATGGAGGGGACAGCCCTGGTTCGAATTCCCAACGGAGTGTTCCTGAACTCCGGTCTTTTCTTGTGAACTTTTCGAAGCACTCAACCCAAATGTGCTCTCTCATATAGGAGATGGACGTTAAGGTGGAGGGGGGGGGGGCTACACCTGAAGGCTATCTCGCTTATTACAGGACCAAATTTTACCATATTTCACACATATAACAATCATAGTAAGGAGTCTTGAAATCCGCAATCAACGTTTAGAAAAAAGTTTAATTTCCATGGGTGTGGCGCCATATTGGAATTTGTTGACATGTCTTACGTAATGAATACCACACTTATCGTTCATGGACATTAATTATTTGGGGGGTTCTTTGCATACATGTTAGCTAACATTAGATCTGACAATTTGTCAGTTGATTTTTTCCTAAACGAATGGGAACATTATTACATTTTTTTTTTCCTGAAGAAGTATTCAAGTTTGCAAAAAACTTTTTCTAAAAGTTGATTGCGGATTTCAAGACTCCTTGCTATGATTGTTATATGTGTGAAATATGGTAAAATTTGGCCCTGTAATAAGCGAGATAGCCTTCAGGTGTAGCCTCCCCCCCCCCCCAACCACCTTAAAGTCCATCTCCTATATCCTCTTCTTCTTCTTCTCGATCGCATCACACTTGAAGTCTGGTATATGTCATAAATTGGGCCGTCCTGCTCCGTTCATCTGTCGGCCCGTATAGCAGCTTCTCCTGTAGTGTCAGTGTGGTTGGCCACCTTTCCTGACTCAGGGCCCGGTGTGTCTTACAGTGCTGAAGAATGTGTTGAACAGTTTGATCCGCCTCTCCACACTGGCATTTTGGTGATTGTACTAGTTTAAAACGTCTGTACATATGTTGTCACTGTCTTGAGTGTTGTTTTCTTTGTCTGAATCAAAGATAATCACTTGTTCTTGGCGGGACAGCTCATGGTAGCTATATGGTGTCTGTGATGCTTTAAATAGTGTATTTAGAATAGTTTTTATTTCTGTGTAGTTAACGCTGTTGTCTCGTTGCTCTTTCTCTGCTCCTAATTTGGCCATTGTGTCGGCCTGCTCATTTCCTAAGACACCACAGTGTGATGAAATCCACTGCAGCATGATCCTCAGACATGGGATGCCTAAATTACTTTTCGTAACTTTGGTAGTTGGCCGGCAGTGATGCCTGCAGTACTGACATGGCATCAGTTAGGAATACTACTTGGCTTTGGGGGTCTACCACATTCTTGATGATGTTTGTTGCATGTATTAGAGCCTCTATCTCTGCCCTGCAGTTTGTACAATGTCGCCCTTTTGGGACTGCCTCTGTTTGTCGTCGGCCATTTGGGAACTGTGCGTAAACTCCCGCTCCTTCACTTTTCACAGCATCAGTGGTAGATCCGTCCGTACAGATCCTTATCCATGCTTCTCGGGAGTATCTTTCTTCAAGCATGGACAGGGTGAGGGATTTTTTGCTCAGGTTGCTGTGGTTATCTTTTGTGGTGAACATAGGAATGAACGTGTGTAAAATTATGTTTGTGTTTTTCTTTTTCTATGATGGTGCCTCTGGGGTATGGTTCAGCATGTTCACTGTGGCTAGTAGATGGTCCTGTAGGGATCTTTGGATTTTTCTGCTTTCTTTGATGAAGTTGGATCTTTTAAGTCTTTTGGTGTTTGATCTGGCTGTCCTTGTGTGCATTATATGATCTTACATAGCAGTGGCCTTCGTGTACAGTATGAGTGCCTTGCACTCCCATCTCCTCTGCAGGGCCACTATAGATGTTGCTTGTTCCATCTTTTCTATTGGCGTTGACCTCATTGCTCCAGTGATTATACGGAGAGCCTGGTTTTGCACTTTTTCCAGAGTGTATTTGTGAGTCTGTGCTGCTGTCATTCATGCACTGGATCCATACTCGAGAAGGGGTCTGATTGCAAGCCAGAAAGACCTTTCAAATTTTCTCATTTGTTTCCCACTGAGTCCCTACAAGGTTTCTCATGATGTTAAGCTTCTTCCTGGTTTTAGTTTTTGCATTTTGAATGTGTTGTTTCCATGTGAGACGCTTGTCAAAGATTATTCCGAGATACTTCTGTTGATTCTCAAACTTTAGGGGGGGTTGTCCAATGTGAGGTTTTTTGGCTTTGCCTGGCTGAGAGTGAAGAGTATAGCAGAACACTTTTGCTTGTTACCGGTTACGCACCTAGTTTTTGTCCATGTAGTGAGTTTGTCCAGTGCTAGTTGTATGCAATACGTGGCGGTAGTGACGAATTCCTTTGAGCATCAAAGAACCAGGTCGTCTGCATACAATGCGGTGTATGTATTCCTTTGGGAAGTTCTTTCATGATCACTGATGAAGAGGATAAAGAGCAAAGGTGACTTGGCTTCACCTTGGTGTACTCCTTGTCGCAGCAGTATTTTCCGTCCTTGATATCCATCCACCAGCACACGTGCTCTTTAGTTGTGTAGATATGATTTGGTCATTTGGTACACGTTGTCTTGGATACCACTTCTGAGGAGCTTGACTAGTCAACCCTCCTTCTAAACCTTGTCAAACTCTCTTTGTAGATTAATAAATGTTGCTAGCATCACTTTCTGGGGGGGGGGGGGTTGCGAATCATGAATAATAGTTATTATTGTGCCATTCTTTGGGGGATGGGGAAAGAGGATCGTCACCACTGCAATATGTGTTGTTTTTTTTGGTACTTCTTTTTTCTTCTTTTCTCTTGTTTGACTTCTTTTTGTCTCTCTCTGTCTTGGTATTTTGATGTTGCTTTCTTGAGTATAATATGCTTTTACTAAAGTATGTGCTGCCCTTTTCTCCATTTTCATCTCTCCTTCAACTTCTAGAGTGATCTTGGCACTTTTATATCCTTCGTCGCTTAGCCCCTTTACACACCTACATAGTTTTGTAGTGCTCTTTTCCAAGATAAGTTTGTGCGTTTTGTCTCTCCAGCTTTTCCTGGTGCACTCCGATTTGGTTTTGAGATAGTGGGCTTTACACCTCTGTAGCTAGTGGTTGTTTTCTATCCCTGGATGTGATTCGGCTTATTCTCTGGCCTTGATGAAGTCGTTTTGCGTTTTCTGGAGTTCTGGCGTCCAATAGGGGGGGGGGGGGGGAATTTTTCCTTACCACTCTAGGTATGGTTTCTTTTGCTGACTAAAGGATGTTTTCATTGAACTCTGTGATGGCATTTTTTAATGTTTCTGTCGAAGACTGCGATGTTCTTTGTCAGCTCATTAGTTCTTTATGCTCACAAGTCTCCAGTCTGCCTTTTTGTAGTTCCATCTCGGCCTTTTTGGGCTGTCCTCTGGCAGGCTCTCTACTATGGTAAGAAGAACAGGGCGATGGTCATTTCTTCCAAGCTGGGTTTTCACTTTTCTACTTAGATGTCTGTGCAAGTTTTCTGTGCAGAGTACTATGTCTGGAGCCGTAGTTGAATGCCAAGCTCGAGAATAACGTGTGGGTTAGTCTAAAGGATTTTTAACAAGCAGAAGATGGTTTTCATCTTGCCTTGCCTCTATTTCTTCTCTTCTCCTGTCTAGTCTGTTATAACCCCAACTCTGGGACTGGCTGTTGAAATCTCCAGTGATGAGAACGTCTGTGTCTGGGACTTTGATGGTTTCTAGCACAAGGTTCTTATCGCTTGGACAATAATAGTCCACTAGATCCAGAGAGCCTCTGTTGTTGGTGATCCTGTTGTGGATATATTCAGCCTTTCCTGTATATATCTTGATTTTAATGGTATTTAGGTTATATCTTTTACCGGGGCAAAACTCCCCCTTTCTTTCTACCCTGGCGATCGTTTCTAAAGCACTGATATCCTCTTACCTTAAAGCTTGCTTCCTCCTGCAGTTGTGTTTCCTGTATACAGCTTATGTGTATTTTGTTATCTTTTAGAAAGTTTTCCAGCTGTGTTTTCTTGTTTAAGATTCCTTCAGCATTCCAGTGCATGATATTAAGGTTTTTCCTTACCTGTTTTGTGTTTGTGTTACCAGTCACTTTTCTTCCTTGTCTCCTGGCAATCCAAGACGATGGAAGGCCCTCCAGTTGCTGGGGTGGACCCCTTCGAGGCTTGTGGTCCGACACTGCACCTGCCTGATGGGTCCTCACAGGGGTGCACCATATCTAAATTTACCGACTTCAAGTGTCATTTTTGCAGTTTTACGTGGTTTTGAGGTTCTCTAGGGTGCGTCTTGCGGCCCAATACCTCCGATTTCAGCACTCGAGCTCCAGGTCCTAGAACCTACCCTGGGAGCACATGGAAGAATTGTTACCGGATCCCATCCGTAGCCAGGACTTAATGCGGTCCTTTTCTGCATGGTGCTCCCGTCAGCGGACTCCTAGGGCATTTAATGATGTGGTAGTGCCACCTACCACCTCACCCCGTCCTGGTAAGAGCATCACCAGTTGGTCCGGGGCTGCCTATTCAACATATTCACAGCTAACCTCCATTACGGTGGCCGTTCCCTATCCGCAACCTGGGACCCGCTGTGTGGGGGATGGTCGCCCCAGCCCGGACCCTTTCAAACATGTCAGCCTTCGCCCCTGTACGTTTTCAATAGTTACCATCACCATAATTACCATAATAATGCTTTTGTATTGATCAGATTATTCATATTAATATATTTCCCTCTAGGGTAGTAACTACTTAGACCTACAGTTATGTTTGCGTATTGATTTAATTATTCGTAATGTTTCTCTCTCTAGCGTGATAACTGTCCAGAACCCCTGCTTGATTTTACTGCACGGTGACGTATTGCCGGCTGGCCCTTATTGGGAGATGATAGCGCCCTACGCCACTCGATTTGTGCACGTCGTACGACATCCCCAGACCCACATCAACGGCAAGCAGATCGAGCATGTGCAGAACATGGCTGATATTGCTCGTCTTCGGATACTGCTAGGTAGGGATTTGTGTTCGATTTCCCAAAGTGAACCTAATTTTTGTTTTTTCATATTTTTTTTTAGGGGGAGGGGGGGGGGGACTGGTTCCCATATCCCATATAATTGCTTTGTTGTCGCACGCAAGAAATCCGAGTTCGATTCCTGAGTTGGGAGAAATGCTTGTCGAGCATCTTGATATCTTTCTGCTGGAATGTTGTATCCCTCTCAGCCCGGGTTGACCGTGAGAGGCAGGGTAGGAAGCCCGCCTCCAAAATTGTCCTCTGTCTTGACCAGAGTTTGTACAACATTAATTTATATCAATCTACCACCAAAAACGACCTTTGTCTTGATCAAACCTTGATATTTATAGCCATCAACAATAAAACCCACATTTGTGTTGACCAGAGTTTGGCGGCATCTACCTGGACACAGACTCCGTCCTCCTCCAGCCTCTGGACGTCTTTCGGACCGCAACGTTCGCCGTCAGCCGAGAGAGTACCCAGGACACCATGTCCAACGCTGTGATGATCGCTTCACCAAATAACACGTTTGCTCGGGTAAGAACGGATCTCCTTTAGTCAAATGTCATAGTAATAATAATATTGTAGACCAGATCTGCATGATCGGATTGGATCTGGTCGTGATGAGAAATGGAGCTGGCCAGTGCACATTGTATGAAATGAACTTCTCAAAAATGACCTGTAGGTTCATTGGACCTATGGCATTCTACGCTCAAACAAAGGAATTGTCTTTTAATGTAATGTGATGTACAGTAACCATCTGTTAGCTATTGACTACGACTTATATCAAATAGACCATCATATATATGTGTATGTGCATGTGTGTGCGTGTGTGTGTGTGTGTGTGTGTGTGTGTGTGTGTGTGTGTGTGCATGTATGAATGTGTGTGTGTTTGAGTAAAACATTAAATGCGGACGTCTGTGTGTCCCTTTTTAGTGAATATTTGTGTGAGTCTCTTTTTTGTAATTGTCTGTGTGCGTCCCTTTTTAGGTGAATGTTTGTGTGCGTCACTTTTTGGTGAATGTCACGGCTATGTATGCTTATGCCCGAGTGTGCATTGCACTTCTCGAAAATTTGACCAAACATCTAAATTTAAACTGGAAACAAAGAAGAAAAAAAGGTAACATAGCAATGGACATTGTCATTTGATTCTTTTTCAAAATGTATGATCCTATTAAAACACCAGTCATCATTCTTTTTTTTCCTCTCCACCCCCTCCTTGTCCTTCTCAGGTTTGGCTCGGCGAGTACGCATCGTATGATGGCTCTTCCTGGGGTTCTCACTCTGTAGTACGCTTGACCGAGCTAGCTGGACGACGGCCTGATCTAGTGAGTAAATACAGAGATCATTATGTTTATTTCGCCCAAGGAAATTGAAGACTACGGTAGAAAAACTGGTGATGTCCAAAACAGTTGCCTTTTCCATTAAATCTCCACTGTGCAACACAGCGGTGATTTAAAAAGATGAAACCTGTCTAAAATAGCCATTTAACGAATGTTTCAATAGTTGAACACAAACAATTTAAGAATTTTAAACATTAACGTAATTGGAAGTCCCTGGGTCAAAATATTCAGTTAGTTTAGAAATATGACATCATTGGGGTTTTTTCATGTAGTCTTCAGTTGCCTGTCCAGATTCTGGATGACTTTATGTTTTAAGTATCGAGGGTAGTGATACAGTTTTCTTTGTCTCGTGTTCCTTTTTCAAGGGCCATATTATTTTTAATAGAGTTGTTTATTTGTTTGGGGTGTTTTTTGCCCCTATCCACACACTTTAGATCATTTAGTAGGTGGGATTCAACCCTGCCTGCCACGGCTATCCTGGATTGAGACGGTTACAACATCCCAGCGGAAAGACGGAGATACTTGATTAAAAGTAAAATTCTCTCGAGAAACGAACTTGAGTCTCCTGCATACGACAGCGAAGCGCATAACTGCGACACCACAGGCTCCAACTGTGACATACTTACGAAAAAAAAAGGATCCATGGATTTAATTACTTGTACCTGCTTTGCTATGGGATTCCAAGCTATTTCTCTTTAGCGATCAAATATATAACATATGACGGTGTCTAGAGAAAAAAGGACCCAATTTGAGGCTAATAACTGGGCCATCTTTTCCCCAGTTTCAACAGATCTTTGAAAAATACAACCAAGAGGACATCAAATTTGTCACCAAAAAAAAGTAAAGTTTTGTGTTCTGGAAAAATCATGTTTTTTAAATTTCTATCAACATTGAATAAAACGCAAACTTAACAACTTAGTAAAAAGTAACCATTTATTAAAGTGTGTATTTATGCATTAAAGAACTAATGTATTCAAAATGACATTGTCACAGATAAGGCATCTAAAGTAGAACCAATTCAAAATGATATGTGTTCCTTTGATGTTTTTTAAAAAAGTTTTTAATTGTAGTAGAGATTTTACGGAGCTCAAAAACTGCTTATGGTCATATGAGCCCCAAAAGCTGGACGCCAACAGAGAAATCCTTACAGGGATTCAGGCTTACTCTGCCCACCTCTCTAGCTTCAACAGCACAAAGTCTGCTTTGACTGTCAAGGCACCCTGGAAATAGCGTGTCACAAGAGTGTGACAAACAACCAAAATAATTGGAGGAAAAATGACGAAAGTAAGGATTAGGAAAGATAAAGCAGCAGTTACCTGTTGCAGTTCAGGCACAGTTATAAACATGACATTGATGAATCTACCCATTTTGCTATTCTACTGTGCATAAAAACATTAATATCCGCCCTTTGGGAATGGCCTAAAGACACCAGTCAGTTTCACCGCCCCGAGGGGTGCTTTTATGTTTATTTTTGAGTCAGAAGCTATGTGCATTTTATGCACTGACAGAAACGTAACATTGGTGTCTATGACGTAGCGGTTAGGCTCTTTGTCGTTGCATCTAGAAGACATGAGTTTGATTCCCGAGTTGGGCAATATTTTATCAAATTAGTATCTTTGTCTATCTACGGGGATGTTGTATACGTCTCAGTAAAAGGTTGGCTCCTAAAGCAGAGTCGAAGCAGCCCGCCGCGTAAAGGATCTAAATTGTATCCATGTGGGAATGAATAAAACGTTATTTACCTTTTACAATCGTAATAGAAGCGTAATATTATACATTTCTTCGTCATCGGAATATGACTTCCATCCTGATCAAGAGATATCAAGTTTATAATGTCCATTGTGTTTGAATCAGTGTATAGGTTATTGTTTAATGTACTAATGGATACGTTTCTGTTTCTTCTGTTCCAGGTACAAGGCATGGGCCCAATATTCATTCGCTATGGCTATAAAGAAGTAGACAGACTTTATGAGAAAGAATGCAGATTAGGCACCGATGACTTTGGCATTCATCTCTATCGGAAAAAATACCCGGAACATGCTGATCTGGAATATATAAAGAGGGCGCGCTCGACGTTTGCTCGAATATCTCGTTACGTACTATTTGGGAATGGCGTTGTCTGTCCCTATTCATCCTCGACAAGATGAGGGCCAATCTGAAGTAGATGTACTTTGTTTGAGATGGCGTGTACATTCTTTAGCTGGATAACTCGGTATGACCTGTTTGTGAATGGCACTGCTCGCTATGCATTGTTTAGGAATGGCACTGTCTGTCCACAATCCTCGACATAATGAGAGCAGTGCTTCGAGTCTTCTGTCGGCGTTTACCTCGGTCTAATCCTTCTGCTTTCGAGTCCAAGTCCTTCAAACATGTGAAAACCAGTTGCCTCGATCTCGCTAGATTTTAAAACGGTTTGCGTGCCACTGCGCAATCAGTGAATAGCGCTGTGAACAGTGAATATTAAATAGCAGATGTTGAATAGTATTCGAATAGGACGAATAGTGGCTTCTCGTCTTTAAGTATCAATGGAATTCTATTTCATCGAAATTGCACAGCACTACAGGGCACTGGCGTTATGGTAAGACCTCTTGAGATAAATCATCGTATATTTTCTTCCAACATATCGTTATTGTTTATAATTCCGAAGAATATCTATGACTATTCTTTTCAGATGTCATTGAGTTGAAGCTGTTTAGCGAAAAAGACAATGACTTGCTCTTATGAAAACAAGGATATATGGTTTTATTTGTTCAGTGTTGACTCAAAGTTTATTATAGGGAAAAGAATTCAAAACAAATTTTAGAGACTTAAATGTGTTTCATAAAATCACCCGGCCCTGTTCGGACTTCTAGACCTGACCATATATTGCTGATCCAAACCAAGCTGTTACACAAATGAGCACAGAGCATCCATCTTGTGAGGAGATGCAGGACTACAAATCTGACAGAAACAGTTTTGAAGAGAAGCATTTCCAGCAGCCTAGTCGTCTGGGTCATTCTGGCCTTGCCTTCACTTTTTTGGAGAGAATGTTATCCACTCACGAACCGTGAGTTAGATCAGTCCAGCTACTAGATTCTCCTCTCAAGCCACCAGTTTGCCGATCAGTGCAGTCACACATGATGATGAAGTCATTAATGAACGGTTGAAGCGTTCATACTCAAACAATAGCTTACGTATGATTTTTCCTGTTCCCCCATTTTTTTAAACTGCTTAATTCGGTATAAGTTCTTCCAAATGCGACTCTGGAAATTACAGAATCATGATGTTAAAGTCAAGCCTAAAAATGTACGTATTTGCATTGGGAACTTGGAGGGGAAAAAACAACACTATCTGCCCAGTGCTTCGAAGTTTAAAGACCTGTAATTCAAAAACGACGGTTAGCGTTGTTTTGGGGGTATTTTAGGACACTGTGTTATAACTAAATCACTGGACACGAAGAAGGAATCGGGATAGTCAGGTTATTTCAATACAAGTCTTGATTATTTAATGTCTTACACTGCTCTCGAAAACATTCATGTTTTATTCTATGTACTTAGATTTCTTATGAAACCCTTAATCTAACTGCTGTGCCATTGTTAAGAATGATTTGCGACCATATTCATCTTCCATGGATTTCAAATTTTTAATCAGTGCGCTATTAAAAGTGTTTGTACAAAATTAGTTTATACCGGGTGTCTTAAAAAAAACAAACCCGTATGATGGGAAATAACTCGAAAAATTTGAACAAAAGAAAGCTCAGCCAAGTGGACATCATTTTTTTTCAAATAGATGAAAATCAATCAATGTGTTGTTATTTTCATTTCAACAAACATTGAGTAAAACGCAAAACTTCACAACTACTAAAAAATCAGCCGCAGCCTACTATGTGCAGTAAAGAATGAATATATTTGAAGCTGGCATTGTCGTGGGTAGCGTGTCTAAAAATGTGATCAATTCAAAGTCCAATCTTTACTTTGAGAATATTAAAAAATGCAACATCTCTGGAAAATACCCACAAACAATTGAACATTTGAAAACCAATGTTGAACAGGAGGTACAAAGAATCAACATAGAAACATGTCATGGGGTCATTGAAAATTTCTAGCGTCCTATCCAAGCTTGTCTGAATAGAAATTATGATCTACACATGGTACAACTGCTATATTTCAAAAAGTGACCAACTTCCCTGAGTTTGTTCACCAATGCCAGTTTCAAATAAATATATCCTTTTATGCACGTTGGCACATAATTTCTTTTTGCGAAGTTGAATGGTTTTGTTTACTCAGTTTTGATATAAATGTTTTAACAACTTTTAATTCCTCTAATAATAGGTCTATTAATTTCTTGATAACATTGAAACTTTGACATCCTCTGTGCTGAATTTTATTTCTTCAAAGTTTTGTTAAAATTGGTGCTAAGATGATCGAGTTATTGCCCTTTAAATGAGTTATTTTTCATTAACCACAGGTACATTGAATTCTCTCCACATAATTTATTTAGGATATTCTGTGTGTCTGTAGGTGTGTTTTGTGTGTGTGTGTGTGTGTGTGTGTGTGTGTGTGTGTGTGTGTGTGTGTATGTGTGTTAATCTTAGACTCAATGTACGTGTATGTGTGTATGTGTGTGTGTGTGTTTATGTGTGTTTGTGTGTTTATCTATTTAGATAGTAATATTCTATGTGTGTTTATATACATGAGTTTTTAAAGGATATTTTTGTTTTTTTTGTACGTGTATATGTGTGCATAATAATATAATGTGTGTGTGTGTGTGTGTGTGTGTGTGTGTGTGTGTGTGTGTGTGTGTGTGTGTGTGTGTGTGTATTTCTGTAGTATAATGATATGTTTTACGCCTCAATAAGCACAATTAAGTTCGACCATGTTCTGTGCTGAATGGACAGAGCTCCTGAAGAAGACGACACTGAAAAAGATCACGCGGATCTTCACCCCGGGCCATGCTGGAGTCAAGGGCAATGAGCGGGCTGATGAGCTCGTTTGGAAAGCAAAAGCTGAATGGAAGCTGTGCCCTGACAAACTTGAAATTGTGTGAGAGAGATTAAGTGTGTGTCTTTGAGCGGGTGTGTGTGTGTGTGTGTGTGTGTGTGTGTGTGTGTGTGTGTGTGTGTGTGTGTGTGTGTGTGTTTGTGTGTTTGTGTGTGCGTACCTCTATTCATGTGTTCATTAAGGATACACTCACTGTGTAATTATTTTATATACATGATGTTTATACACCTCAACCGGCACAATTTAGATTCTTTAGGAGGAGAGCTTTCGGTCGTGCCTGTCCCATACTCTCGGTCAAAATTTCCCCCACTAGGAAATTAAACTAGCTTTTCTTTTGTGGGACAAAAAAACCCCACCTAACCATGTTACACCTCATATGCCAGTGTGCATGTGTGTTTATGTGTGTGTGTTTGATTTGTGTGTGTGTATGTTTGTGTATGTATGTGTGTATGTGTGCATAAGTGTGTATGCACTTAAATGCACAAACACACACACAATACACTGCAATCGTCGTTGCTGATAGTCAATGTTAATGAAGTTTGTATTAAGATGTGTGAACATTTCGAATGATCAGACTTCTTAGTATTCTGTATTTGTCACGATACTCACTCTGGTCAAATTATAATCACATCTCTGTTTTTATTTTGGCAGTACTGCATTGGTATCTTGCGATTTTTCTTTCTAGATAGTAAAGAAGCAGTAAGAAATTTTTTCTGTAATTGTTACGTCCAATGGTGGTTCTTCGTGCACGAGACTGAGACGATCAAATTTTGATAATGAGTTCTACGCAGCTATCTTTTTTCAGTCAAACTGAAGTATAGCCTACCTTTCTCCTCCCTTTTCAAACGCCGGATCCGGGGTCACCCTGGAGTCATAATGGGGTCACTTTAGGCCCCAAATGATCAGGAAAGAGCCTGCTATGATGGTCTTGATGCACAAAGTATTTTGTTTAGTTGTTGTTGTTTTTTTTTTTGGGGGGGGGGGTTGGTGATGATGGGGCTACTTTACTTTTGCCCATAGTTTTCAATGCTTTCGCCATTATTATTTTTCTGTGAGCCGCTGATAATACGTTCCCGTCCACGAATACTATGGCATTTCATGGATTTCCCACCATTCGTTTTCAGCGCAGTGTTGACTGAAGCTCAATTGTGTTATACCTATCGCCAAACTCTCCTGTGTGATATTATCAAACAATTAATTATCTCTTGTGATAAAACGTGGCTTTGTGTCGTTAGACTGAATTTATTTCTGAAGGAAATACTTATTTGTTAGAAAAAGTGCTCCTGCTCATGGGGCTGGGTTTTGGTGGGGGGTTTTGTTGCTGTTGTTTGGGTTTTTTTATGTTTTTGTTGTTGTTGTTGTTGTTTGGTTGGTTGTTTTTTTTACTATTAATAACATAATAAGTTGTTATTTCTCTTCAGGTATTAAATAATTGTTTAACATTTGTTTTTATCATTACTGTGTTGTTATTATTATTTTATTATCATTATTATTATTATTATTATTATTAACATTATTATACTTTTTTGTTGTTGCTGTTGTCGTCGTTGTCATTGTCGTCATCATCATCAACAACATCATCATCAGAATCATCATCATTATTGTCATCATCATCATCATTATTACTTTATTGTTATTATTATTATTGTTGTTATTATTATTATTATTATTATTATTATTATTATTATTATTATTATTATTATTAATACAAACATTATTATTAGTAGTAATAGTATTTGTATTTTCATCTTCTTGATTATCATTATTACTATAATTATTGTTATTACTAATATTATTATCATTATTATTGTTATGATCAATGTTATTATTACTATTATTATTAATAATCATTTTATTGTTATTACTGTGATTTTTATTATTATTATTATTATTATTATTATTAATAATAATAATAATGATGATGATGATGATAATAATAATCTCTCATTCAGCAATTTTTATTTCATGTTCAAAACCTGTGCTGTGTTATTTGTTTGCCTGTTGGTCTGCTTTGTTATTCAGTATTCAGTGTGGGCAAAGCAAGACAAAAATGTTGGACCAGAATGACTCTTAGACTGATTGACTGGTTAATTGTTATGATGGGCAGTGGACTGTATATAGATATCTTGGGGTTTTGGTTTGTTTTGTTTTGTTTTGTTTATTGTTGAAGTTTTTTTCTCTATTTTTTTTCTAGAGACATGTTACGGCATGCCCCTTGAAATGTAAGACACTTCATGTTGTAGAATAGTTCAATATGTAAAGGAAATTGAAATACTTTCCTTTCGTGAAAACAGACGTGGTTCTGATTAAATTGTCTCCTGCATGTCGAGATATTAATCTTGCTAATATTATAGTCCCTGCCTTAGTAGCAGTAGCAGCGTAGTGATTGCCTTTTTTACTTGGGGATCTAAGTTTGCTCTATAAAACCGATTCATAAGAATTTACAATTTAATTTGTTATTGACGAAGGAGCTTGAAAACAACCCTCCCTCTCCCCCTTTTCTTTTATATTAAACATTCTTTCAAAAACATTCCTTGTTGTGCCTTATTTTTATCATTTTTGTAACATTTTCTATATCTTGCGTCCAATTGTTCTTGAAAGGGCTGGACGGTATTTTTCGTTTGTTTTTTATAGTTTGTTGGTTGGTTGTTGTTGTTTTGTTTTCTTTGTGTGTAGGATTTTTTTCTGTGTGAGAACTGTTTGTAAGCTATAACTACGGTATGACAAAGATGAACTAAAATAAGAACAAGTTGATGTATAAGATAGGTCACTCCTCTATCTGAGAATGAAGTAGGTAGGTAGAATTTGCAAGTATTGATCTACCTGAAATTCAAAAACTTGATTTCACGTGGAATCAGTAGAAATAAAATGGAAAATGATACCGAAATATGTAAAATGTGTTCATTGTCTTTTCTTCTTTTTTTTGTTAAATAAAGAATATACCTGTTATCAATTACTGAAAACGATCTATTTTCAGCACCTTACTTTCTTTCCAGCTGTACAGAACGTCAATATTACGTCGTTGTCGTAACCAATCCACTAAAGTCCACATTTTGATAATAATGATACACCCTCTGACAGCTCTATCCAAGATGCACCTTTCAACGTCGCCAAAATGCAGATTGATACTATGGATAACTGTCTTGGACAAGTGGCTGACAGAGTAGGTTCGACTGTACCATGACTCAGTGTGTTGGTTACTTCACAAAACCGGCCTCTCGGGCAGTACTCCGGTCGTGTTTGCTGATCTCTCTCCACCATAATAATATTATGCGTTGCATCGTGGTGAAACCAGGCGCTCGTCAGAATAATGAAACTGAAGAAACCGACGGTTTCCGCTTGCTGTGCAATATTTAGGCCTACTGATTTCTTTTCTTTATGATCAACACCTTTAGTGCAATTTACAAGTACATTAAATTATCCCTTGTGGATTTTATTGAGAAACGTTTGTCACAGGCACACAGGAAATAACTCCTTGGTATTTCCAAGGATCATGATCATCCGGTGCCTTGCCGACTAGCGTGGGCGATCCTGGACCTCCAGTTCCCCCTGTCCCGAGTTGCAGCGATGGTGTCTGTTGTTCTTGCTCTTCCCAGCCACATTGTTAACTTGTCCAGTACCTTTTCCCTCTGTCTGCTTCTACCTCCCTTTTTTTCATCAAACTTGCTCATTGTTACAATATTCTCCAATGCTTCTTTTCGCATTGTGCGTCCAATGAAATTTGCCTGTCGCTTTCGTATATTCATCATGCATAAGCTGTCGTCTGCAATTTGCTTCAACCAAGACATCTTCATTTGTTTTTCTAGCTGTCCATGGGATACGCTGCATGCATCTTATGAAGAACAACTTTGTCGCCTCAATTGTTCTTTCCAGCTGTCTATTGATTGTCAATGCTTCGTAACCGTATACATGTAATAGGATTGGCTCGATGTAACTTTTCAGTTCTCTTTTTCTAGTTTCCAGTAACAGATTGATGTTTGTGAGTATCTGTTTCATTCTGTGAAACATTGCTTTTGCTTGGCACATGCAGCTTTTAATTTCGGTGTGACATCTCCCATCTGATGATATAATGGTCCACAAATATTTTAAAATGTTGCATTTCCAAGGATAGCCTACTTAAAAGTTAACCTTAGAAGTCGCCACACTTTGGCGGCTGCTTTTTCCCCACCTCTTTCAACCGCAGATTCATTGACTTCTATTTATAATAGTTCGGTATTTCTTCAATAAAAGCAGAACACATTATGAGCAAGTCTTTAATAATTGTACCAATAACTCTATCCATGCTCCACTAAAACGGACGAGGGCCTGATTCTACCGCATCGTGACCTAATATTACATTGACCCCTGGGAAATCTTTCCCCCCTCGTCCTGCGTCGTAAATTCCCTTGTATTAGCCAACACAGGTTTAGGAATGACCAAGGGTCTGGACAAACATACCCCGGGTTTACAATGGTGCCACTTCGTCTCCTCTAAGCGATTTCTCCTGTGCTGAGCCGTGTGTTCAGTTAAGTCGTGCGCTGATAAAACAGAGCAGAAAACCCCGGATTTTACAATGTTATAACATGGTTACACTTCTTTAGTTTCAGTAAGGTTTTAGAGCCCTCTCAACTGCATAAGTTCATATGAGCGCCAAGGGGTGGATGTCAACAGAGAGGTCCAAACGGGGAATCAGGCTTACTCTGCTCATCTGTCTAGCCTCAATTGTCAATAGCACACAGTCTGCTTCGGCTATCAAGGCACCCCGGAAATAGCAGTTCACAAGAGAATGACAAACATACAAAAGAAGTAGAGGAAAATGACGATAATAAGGATGAGGAAAGAAAAAGCAGCAGTAACCCCTTTGTTGTTCATGCACAGTATGAGCATGGCTTTGATAAATCAGACCATTTACAATTCTACTGTGCTTAAGAACATGTCTATCCCCCTCCCCTTTTTTTTGGGGGGGGGGGGATGGCCTAAAGACAACTTCAGTCAGTAGCACTGTCCTGGTTTTGGGGTGGGGAGTACAGTTTATTGGCAAGCTGTTCTTTTATCTTAACCCAAAAGGAGTTCCAGTGGTCTAAGGGTTACGGTGTTCGCCTCTCATTCAATAGATCCCGGGTTCGAAACTTGACAGCGATGGAAACATTTTCTTCTCTATAATTTTCTTCTTTGACCTCCTTTCATGCTCTTTAACTTTAACCATGTTCTGTCCTCTGCTTGCGTCTCCATTTGTGTGTGTGTGTGTTTGTGTGTGTATGTGTTTATGTGTGTGTGTGTGTTTGTGTGTGTGTGTGTGTGTGTGTGTGTGTGTGTAAGTGTGTGTGTAAGTGTGTGTGTAAGTGTGTGTGTACCTATAGACTACTATACATCATAACTGAAAACAAAGTGTTTCACTGGAGACTTTTATTTTTGCAATTGTACCTTATAAGGCTTGGAGCCGACAGGCCTTTCAAAAGTACAGTTTTCTACTAAGTACTACAATTTCCCTTACAGATATAGCACTTTGACATGTTATGGTACATTTTTCACTCCATCGAGAAAAGCCTTCTTAAAAGGTAAATGTTTCAAGACGAAGTGGAATCAGGCGCTCGTCAATTTTTGGGAATGTGGAGTTATTAGTGCCATATTAAAGCTTGTCCATTGGTCTTGATTTCTTAGACAAAAAAATACCCTTTTGTTTAGAATACAAGTTGCGATTGAAGGAGGTGGGAGTAGCCTTGTTTTCAGAGGTGTAATTAGCGAGAAAATGGCCGCCACATACTGGTTATTTCCATAGTTTGAGAGTCCATGAAAACTGAAAATTTACATTTTTTGTGCCTTTAATTATCGTTCTCAGTGAAATCCAAATAGAAATGTGTTCTTAAATGACATAAAAGGTATTTTGGCAAAACAAAACAAAAGTGCGATAAAAATTGCCAAACTGGAGGGAAAATGCCTTTTTCTTCCATTTCATTATTTTGATGAGCGCCTGCTTTCACCAGGATACCTCACAAATATATATTACCGGCTGTCCATTTCATAAGAATAGGTTGGGTTGGTTTTTTTTCATCTTTTCAACTTCTTCCTCTTTCTGAAGGAAATTCCCACTTCCGACATTCGGGAACATTGATTTCACTCCAGTTTTAACGTATCTTTCATCTTCATCTAGAAGAAGTTGTCAATAGCCCCATTAGTGAGGTCTTGTAGGAGTAGCGGTGTGTCCGAGTTACAAGGGCTGGAGGCGACAACGGCGACAAGAACATCGTATGAGGGACTGTCAGTTGTCTTGCAGTACACAGGAGATCCAAGATCACCCTGAGGAAGATATTTTTGTTTTGGTTAGAGTTTCGCGGCACTTGTAACACGATAATGTCATGTAAGTGCAAAAGAATAGAGGTGTTACAACATTAATAATTGAATCTCGACCAAATGTTATTTGCTACCAAATAAACTGCAATTTAGAAGGGGAAAAAATCTGACTTAATAAATCTGAAAATCTGGCCGACATTTTGAAAAGAAAATGTACATATAATAATAATAATATATTGTGAGGGGTATCGTACACTGCATGTGGTGTCGGCCGCTCCCGTACACACTGGCTTGGCCGCAGGAACGAGAGTGCTGTCAGGGTATTCTCCTTTCTCGGCCACCTCAGTCTTCACGGAGTCTAAGAGCACATTGCAGCAGTCTTGGGTCGTCAAATTCGCCAAATCGAACGTTCGAGCAACACCCTTGTATTTGTCTGAGGATGAGATACGAGGGGGCAAGATAAAGCAAGACAAAAAAGGTTAAGGAAATTTAAGAAAAAAAAATGAGATCAACTCAGATGGAAATAATAAGCTTAATAAATAACAAAGAAAAATAGGTTCGGAGAAACACACTTTTATAACAGGCCTAATGAATAGAATAATATACAGTGGAAACCATATATATAACAGGCCCGGTAATAACAGGGATCCGATAATAACAGGGATTTTTTAAATCGCCGTTTTTTCCTACTCTTTGTCTCCATTAAAAGTTATCGGCAATAACAGGGCATCATCGGAGCCCAATCGGTTATACACATGTGCAGGGACAAAGGCTCATTTTGACAACGTGTAAAAAGTGTGAGAGAGAGACTCAGAGAGAGAGTGAGAGAGAGAGAGAGAGAGAGAGAGTAACGTAGTGATGGAGCAAGCCCACGCAAGCGACGCCACTGCAAGCACACGTAAAGTGGGCTGCGTTGGGCTGAAGACTTCGATCTAGATCTAGATCTAAGCCTAGCTGCACGCAGCTGGCCTGCCGCATGGCCAAATCTGACAGCCCTGGTCATGCGCAGAGCTTGTTTCGTGGGTACTTGTGGCAAGGGAAACTACCCATGAATGCTTACTTCCCTAGCATTTCTGATTTAACAGGGATCTGATATAACAGGACTTTTTCCTCTATTCCCACCATCCCTGTTATATCAGTTTTCCACTGTAACTAGATATATAATAATACAACATGCGACACATTTGGTAAAGGGGAAAAATCAGGGAAACGTAGCTTTTTTTAAGAGCATCAGAGCAAAGGAAAGAATGGAGGAACATGATTGACGATGTCTGTTGCAGATCTGACACTGGATGAATGAAGAGTTAATGTTTTACGTCCAATCGACACAACTGGTATTTTTAGGTGACTCGTTGTTAGCTGTCATTTCTGCTGCTCTTTGCTCGCTATTTTTTAAAAAATTGGCTGTGAAACGTGCGCACCATGGTCGAATGTAAGAGCAAAACGCCAGTCTCGTTAATAAAGTCGAGTTCACACGCCACCTTTTCCCCATTGCCCTTCCTTTGCTCCAAGTAAAAAGTCAAATGGTGCTCTCCCCCCCCCCCCCCCCCAAAACCGGTAAACTGGAATTACGACAGAGTTCTAGGATTGCAATACAAATCTATGGCTGAGATTTATCGGTCCTCTGAATAAACAGTATAATAATTATAGAATTAGAATACCAAACCCTGGATATGGAGGCTTTCAAATTGATAAACAAAGAGTCAACAATTAGCACTTCGTCGGCAAAATGTTTAACTTTTTAAGCACAGAAATCTTGGGGGGTGGGGTGGTTTGTGGGTTGTGTTTTTCTTTGTTTTTATTTAGGGTTTTGCTTTTGTTTTGTTTTGTTTGTTTGTTTGTTTGTTTTTTGTTGTTGTTGGGTTTTTTGTTAGGCCAAACATTAAATGTTCATTACTCTTTGTTTAAATATGCCTCCTTGCTTTTTTTTTCAATATCAATATTTAGATTTTAAGTTTTGACAAAATGTTTATTGAGTACTCGCAACTGATATCACAGTAGATTAAGAGACTAAGTTAAAAACAAAATTCCCAAATGTTGGACTTACTTCATCTGAATGTAGGCATGTAGGCCAAAAGGATAGCATACTTTCTACCAATTTCTTCCTTTTCAAATCGTTCCTAAAGCAATAAGAAAAGTCTCACGTGAATCAGAGCTGTCAGCTTGCATTCCAACAACAAAACAGTTGTTAAAATCGACAATTCCATTCATAGTTGTGGCGTCATATTCACAGGCATGTGTGGGGCAGTTGGTTATAGTCGGTGTACTGGGAAGAGTGATTTCTGAGAAACCATCACCCTTATCTGAAGCTGTTGGCAAGAAAAACAAAATATCTCTTTTTCAATTCAGATTTTTATAAAAAATAAAAGAGGAAGTAAAGTAGCTTTCACTAGTATTTTGCTAATCTTTCTTTTTTCGAATGCTCTCTCTCTCTCTCTCTCTCTCTCTCTCTC